TACGACACGTACCGGCAACTTGTATTTCCGTATTGCTTTGTTCACATGGTGGTGTACTTCATCGGACTTGAACGGTAGTTTAAGGAAGGCAGAGCGGGGATTACCGCGTCGTCTACGCCGAGGTTTCCTGGCAGCTTCCCTTGCTTCCGATATGATACTGTCTGGGTAGTTATTTATGCGCAGTTGTTTGTGTATTTTTTGTTCGCTCTCGGCTTGCATCATGGGGTTAGACGATAGTCGCTGTGCCCTTAGGAATTGAGATTGAGCGACGGCTAACTTGATGTGGTGAGGAACTGCCGATGAATAATCCACCAGTAGGCCACTACTGCATGCCTTCTGGAACAATTTGAATGACAGCTCTCCGGTTTGCCCAACCGCGATCGTTACGTCCATGTAGTCTATGCAGCCACTGTCACAACTTAATTCATGCGTGAATTTGATACGTTCGTGGCTGGCGTTGAATCTTTCTATGAGCTCCAGAAGGCGCTGCCTACCATGTGTCCATAGGATGATGATATCGTCGATGTATCGTCTGAACAGAATAGGTTGGAAGGGTGAGTCCTGAAGAAGTCGTGTCTCAATGGTGTGCATAAACAGGATGGCAAATGGAGGTGCCAGGTTGTTCCCCATAGCAACCCCATCTAGCTGGTGGTAGATCTGTCTGCCAAATCTGAAGTAGTTATGACTCAGAACAAACTTCAGTAGTGTCCTGACTTGGATCACGCTCAGCCCGAGCATATCAACTCTGTTATGGTGTTGCTCTAGCACGTCACTAACGGCATTCACGCCCTCTTCGATCGGTATGCTGGGATACAAACCCACCACATCCATCGTAGCCAGAATCGTTCCAGCAGGTGCTTTAAGGCCAGGGTATATGGTGCGGATATTGTCTAGCGCGTCTTTGGTGTTGATGAGGTGCGATGGGACAAATGCAAGCAGTTGATGCAATATGCGTTCGAGAACCACCGAAATTCCTGTGACTGGACTGTCACAGGCAGAGACAACAGGTCGGAGGGGCAAATTTTGCTTGTGGTCCTTTGGAAGACCGTATAGTTCCGGGAATCGTGTGTCATGAGGGAGTATTGCAGTCAGAAGATCAGGATCCATATTCGTGCATTGCTCTTCCAGTATGGATTTAACCTCTTTCTCATACGCAGTGATAGTTAGATCCACTTTTCTGTACATAGTGCTGTCAGACAGAAGTGCCTCTGCCTTCTCTAGGTAGAGTTCCTGTTTCATAGCTACTAGCTTCTTGCTCTTGTCGGATTGCTTTATCACTACACTGGGGTCATGACGAAGTTCTCTCAGTCCGTCGCGTTCCTCTTGCGTCATATTATGCTTGGGAGGTCTTTGTTTGCCATATGCTGCCAAAACTTCGTCCTTGAAGTTGGCCATCTTTCTTTCCCCATCCTGGCTCATTCTGGGCGGTTGCTTGAAGCCATGCTTCTTTAGCTTCCACAGCCTGCGATCACACTCGGTACCGGTATCGTGGTCGTCCTCTGGCTGGTCCACACCCTGAGGCCGCGCCTGCTGCCATCTCAAAGTGTAGGCCATCCGTTCTACGGAGGTGACCACTTCTGATTTCTCACGACTGGTTAACTTGCCCGTGGACGGTACAAAACCGGGTCCCAGTTCCAATACCCTTCTGGCATTGTCTGTTACACACGAGTCCATGACAAGCGTTCGCCGAGAATGCTCCATTCCCGTCCGGCCGGGACTACCCAGGGCTGTCCCACTCTGGTAGGACGACGTTCATTCAAATTGTTCCAGAAGGCATGCAGTAGTGGCCTACTGGTGGATTATTCATCGGCAGTTCCTCACCACATCAAGTTAGCCGTCGCTCAATCTCAATTCCTAAGGGCACAGCGACTATCGTCTAACCCCATGATGCAAGCCGAGAGCGAACAAAAAATACACAAACAACTGCGCATAAATAACTACCCAGACAGTATCATATCGGAAGCAAGGGAAGCTGCCAGGAAACCTCGGCGTAGACGACGCGGTAATCCCCGCTCTGCCTTCCTTAAACTACCGTTCAAGTCCGATGAAGTACACCACCATGTGAACAAAGCAATACGGAAATACAAGTTGCCGGTACGTGTCGTATACGAGCACTCGGGCAGCCTCAGGCGTCAACTGTGCCGTTCGGCGCTGTTACCACCCAAGTGCGTAAACGAGCCCAACATTACTGAAAAAAGACGAAGAGGACGTCCACTAGGGCCTTGCATTACCTGTCAGTCTGGAGGCGAACGAGTATGTATGACAAAGAATGTAGTCTACGAATTGCAATGCAATTGGTGCCGGGAAACGTATGTAGGGGAGACGGAACGCTCCTTGGAAACAAGAATTCGGGAGCACAATGGCGAGGCACGCCGTCGCACTCTTGATAAGCCATGGGGTGACCACGTGCGCGACAAACATTCTGGCGAGAGTATAGCTGCTGCGGATAGTGTGTTCTCGGCTGTGTCAGTCCTGGCAAGGGCAGGCGACAGAGCAAGCAGAAAACTGCGAGAAGCTGTTGAAATCCGCAACTTGCGGCCGCAAGTAAACACTAATGCTGGCTGGGCACTACTGTGAATATATCGTATCTGGATATTAATATATCACCAATCCCTTTCGCCACCTTTGTAGCTGACACATTGAGCGCAAAGACAGCACGGCACAGTATATTTGCTGCTCCTTTGTAGAGTGCACATCATTGCAAACCTGATGAGGGCTATATGCCGAAACGTTGTTTTAACTACGAAAATGTGTTCGAACGTTGCAGTGTAAATAGAAGGGAGCGTGTAATTCTGTATGAAACTGCAGGAGGCCTCACCGCTTCTAGACCAGACTAGACTAGACTAAAACTAAAACTGAAGGAAAGGAGAGAATGAGAGCTTCTTTTATAGGGTGCTTCAGAGATATATGGCGTGATCGTTGCGAGGTGATTCCAGGAAATAGCAGAACAAGTCAAACCGGAATGTGCGCAGCCAGTCAGCAGAAATGCAGGATATACGTACGGTGATCATTCGAGAAGAAAGAGAAAGAAAGACATCGAGAGAAGAAAGACCAAACTGGGACGTGGGGAGCCCGCTCACCCACGTCAGAGTACGATGTGAGTATATGAGGGTCACGTTGGGGAGCCCGCTCACACAACGTGCCATAGTTCAGCGGCTTCTTATGGTAAGTTCTGCTGCATTCTTGGTATTGCTTGCTTGATACTCTGATCTCTCGTGCGGTCACTGCGGTGACGGTTTTGGTTCTTGCACACGTCTTGGCTCTGCACTCTTAGCACTTAGCTCGGTTGGTTGGTCTTGGCTCTTTGCACAAAGCACCGAGGTATCGTGGAAACCTGTAGAACGTCGTAGTGACGTGGTTTTGCACAAAGCCTGGAGTCACATTTCCAGGAAGTGAAGCACTTCCAGGAAACGTACAACGCGAGAACCTACCTGACCAATAATTGTTGTGCGTGCGTTACACAACACGCACAAGGCTCCTTGCTGTTATGTCAGAGATGACCGGACCTGACAAGACATGCCTGATTAACCATTTGCTGTATGGTACAACATTGTGAAGAAGAGGTTGGTGCGACTTCGGCGATAATGGGGGAAGTATGTGTTGCTCCCTATGTGGGTGCTTGCGCTATTCCTGCCGGCTCGAATTCTAAATTCACTGACTCACGACTGCCATCAAGAGGATATGAGAAGTCCACCGAACCGTCCACTCGGCAAACCTGCAAGAAAGCATCCCTCCCTGATCAAGACACAGTGTTTCGGGGAATTCACCCCTAATCAGTTGAGCTTGAGTAGGCTGAGGAAGATTGTGCCTGAAGAGCACCACTTATATAGTGCTCTCCAGGCACAAACATCACCAGGGATACAAACTTACAGAGACGCTCGGTATCCAGCGCGACAAACATCTCGTGAACACTAGATAGCAGCGTGAGTCAGTGTCGCTCATGCAGGTGCTGAACGGATGCTGAGGAGATGATTTAGAGGCCACGTTTGCTATGACTGAAGATAGCGAGGTGGACACCGAGTATAGCGCTAGTATTGGTAAGATGGCTCGTGTGCTGCTAGCAATGGCAAAGCAGGTGATCTTGAAACAATGTGAATCTGAGATGAAGACGGACCTGATCTACAGGATGTCTCTGCGTCAGGTTCAGGAGCACGGTGCGTCTTACCAGGTCGCACACGGACAACAGGGTGATACTGCCAAGAAACCATTGGGAGTATCACGTCTAAAGCCCACTATATCGGCGCATTGCAAGTCGAAATCGGTTGGATACGCCGAGAAGAAGCTTGAGTCTTTGCCTAAGGAAAGGAGAGGGCGAGACTGTGTGGAACACAGAGATAGGTTGTGTGTTGTCAGGTCCAGCGTCTGCAACGTGTCGAAACAGTAAGCCTCTGACCGTGTCATTTGTCACAGCCTAAATCGACGAGCTTGGAACAATTGAGTTGGCAGAAGTGGTGAGCACTGATATTCCACCTTGGTCACCATTGCAGCAGCAGATGACACGTAGTGAGCCCCGAATCACTTGACTTGTGAGCTGTTGTACGACGCTGAGAAGTCCTTTGGGGAGGGGGGGGGGGATTTTACAAACCCACAAGTTCTCGCTGGTGACATGGATTGGTATTCGCTTGAATGTCGCATTTCGACTCCGCCGTACCGCTGATGCATCATGCATGGTATACGCTATATGCGCTGTGTGCGATTTACTGTGTACTCTGTCATTTGCATGCTATAATTATTTAGTCGTCTTAGACTGAGTCAAGCGTTAAGAGTCAATAGTTGTCCATGTGCTGTGTGCTCGGTCGTTTCTGACACTTACGAGAATCAGAGGCTTCATAACAAAGCATTTCACACACAGCGTCTACAACTGTTCCGTTCAATCAGTGCAGCAGATAATAATGCTCAGAGATATGCGAGGTTTGTTCATCACGTGTTCAGCAGTACTCTATATATACACAGTTCTACAACTGTTCCCTGCGTTCAGTGGTGCAATTGAGAATACTTACAGTCCTTGGAGGTTTGTTAGACCAGAGAACACACCACCACTTAAAGTCTGGATCTGATTATTGTACAAATTTCTACAAACGACAAGCCACAAGGACAATGTTGTTGTTGCTTAGTTCCGGGTAGTGCACAAAACACCGAGTCTAGGATATAGTAGGTCTAATCTAAAAGGCCGAATGTGTACGCTTCTCGTTGGCTGAGAATTCGAATGTGGCTGTCCGCAGCCGACCCTGCACTGTGGTTTTGCTGTTGCAAATGTGAGGTGTGAGAGAGAACATGATCTTGTTTTCAGAAATAACCCAGACTCCTTGCCCACAACATGATTCATATGCAACTGGGTTAGGTTGCGCAGTTCACATATAATACTGTAAAATATAGTCTCCGTCATTGTTCTTCTATTGTCAAGCATGAGGTGTGTTGCAAAGCTAAGAACATACAATTTCTAACGTTACTTCAGTTGATATTGCAGAAATAAAGCTGAGCGCCCAAGCATGAAAACCATTCTGGCTTGAGTATGTTACAAAATGCGTCAGAGCTGAATATGATATTAAACAGTCTACCGAAACGGAGACTTCCCCAGAGACTCGTATGTCCTTCGCGGATCATGGCGATAGAAAAGGTACAAAATTCTCAGTCTTCTTTATGGTTCGTTTAGTTAATGTTTTGATAGGTTGATACCCCCCCCCCCCTTTTTTTGGTATGTTGATGAAGAAATGGAGCAGAATTTTAAGGAAGAGGGTGCCAAAAGGTTTGAAGGGTCTGCAAATTTCAATGCTTTTCGACCAGAATCTGTCATTGCGTTAGAGAATTTTCCGCAAAAGGGCAAATATCCCATAGCTTCAATCAGCAATCTCAAGGCCATATAATCTTCGTTTCGCGTTCCCTAAAACTTCAGAACATTAGAAAGTTATAGAGGGATACATGATTTTGAATTTTGCATTGCGCACTGTGGGGCGGCTCTGAAAATGTAGGGAGATTTTGTTGCTCCATTTACTGTGCGCTGCTGTCTTGGTATCCCATGCACGTAACAATATTAATTTAATCCAATAATTCGGGTTTAACCTCTTGACGGTACCCAGTTACTGCTCTGGACATCTGGACATCGTCTTCCATTCTGGGTTCTGACCTTCTTTCAAACTCTTGCTCGTTACGTCTCAGGTAGACGCAACTTCTCTGTGTAGGATCTGAATGCGCTCGTTCTTTAAAGGGGAAATAGCATTAAAAGGCCCTTTCCTCTTTGCGTACCACCTGCGATTGTCGGCTGTAGTCGGATGTTCCCTTGCTATTTGGATAGGGACCAAGTGAAATGGAAATAGTGCTGTTCTCCCCTGGCCCCTGACACACATCAACACAAGCTCTTGATTGTGTCTCAATTTTTATATTATAACAACAAAATGACGAAGGTGCAGAAGGAGCATGGAAAACGAAGGTCAAACGAAATGACAACAGGAAAGACACGGAGAAACCACAAAGAACAAGCATTTAATAATAAAAAATAAAGCGGATACAAATCCATACCGACCAGCCACCAAAATCTCTATTCCTTGACAAGACATACAGAAACCCTGGATTTCTCTCAAAATCCCCGAATGTCACGAAAACAAGTGAAAAAGAGCTTTCCCGCCAAAAAAAGGTTTGACGGCATGAACTGCAGATCCATACAATACTGTTCAACCCTGCAGTGCAGTTCGCTCAGTCGGCGCCCGCGCCTGCAAGTGCATATCTTGCAGGCTAGGCTGGTCAGGTCTTGAAAGTGCTACGCACAGTTCAAAATGCGATTGAGCACTGTAATTTTTGGAAGAAAAAGAACGGGACATTCCAGGCGATTCCATGGAGTTTTCCAAAACATTCTGTATACGACACAGATGTGACTTTAACGTTAGTTTGTTTGAAATCCCCGAGACCCCGGGAGCACTGTATGAAGCCTCTTTTACGGGGAAAAGAAACACAATGGATGAAAATGCAATACAAATTCAATGAAAGCTCAGAAAACCAGAAAAGGAAAAAAATGTAACCCAAAAGGTGTTCGTAAGTATCTGAGATCTGCTGAATGTCATTGGGCCTCTACGCACCTATTATTTGTGTGTGTTTGTATGCTTGTGTGTGTTTGTGGTCGGATGCCTGGGTGTGTGTGTGTGTCTGCGTGTATAAATATGTGTTTGTGTGTTTGTGTGTGTGTGTGTGTGTGTGTGTGTGTGTGTGTTTCGCATCCCCAGCTCACAGTGACCGGACCCCGAAATCCCTACGAGCGGCGACTGAATATAGACGTGTGGCCTCACGACAAGCCCAACACAACCCTGGGGCCAACCAATGTAGCTGGCTTGGTCCAAGTTCAACCCCACACGATCAACAGACAAAGACTGTTAGTTTTACGTTGTGAGAGGAATCAAATCCGAGCTCGAAGTAAACGAAGTCAGAGAGCTGAGACCGAGTCTCGACTGCTAGACTAGACTAGACCAGACTAGACTAGACTAAAACTAAAACTGAAGGAAAGGAGAGAATGAGAGCTTCTTTTATAGGGTGCTTCAGAGATATATGGCGTGATCGTTGCGAGGTGATTCCAGGAAATAGCAGAACAAGTCAAACCGGAATGTGCGCAGCCAGTCAGCAGAAATGCAGAATATACGTACGGTGATCATTCGAGAAGAAAGAGAAAGAAAGACATCGAGAGAAGAAAGACCAAACTGGGACGTGGGGAGCCCGCTCACCCACGTCAGAGTACGATGTGAGTATATGAGGGTCACGTTGGGGAGCCCGCTCACACAACGTGCCATAGTTCAGCGGCTTCTTATGGTAAGTTCTGCTGCATTCTTGGTATTGCTTGCTTGATACTCTGATCTCTCGTGCGGTCACTGCGGTGACGGTTTTGGTTCTTGCACACGTCTTGGCTCTGCACTCTTAGCACTTAGCTCGGTTGGTTAGTCTTGGCTCTTTGCACAAAGCACCGAGGTATCGTGGAAACCTGTAGAACGTCGTAGTGACGTGGTTTTGCACAAAGCCTGGAGTCATATTTCCAGGAAGTGAAGCACTTCCAGGAAACGTACAACGCGAGAACCTACCTGACCAATAATTGTTGTGCGTGCGTTACACAACACGCACAAGGCTCCTTGCTGTTATGTCAGAGATGACCGGACCTGACAAGACATGCCTGATTAACCATTTGCTGTATGGTACAACATTGTGAAGAAGAGGTTGGTGCGACTTCGGCGATAATGGGGGAAGTATGTGTTGCTCCCTATGTGGGTGCTTGCGCTATTCCTGCCGGCTCGAATTCTAAATTCACTGACTCACGACTGCCATCAAGAGGATATGAGAAGTCCACCGAACCGTCCACTCGGCAAACCTGCAAGAAAGCACCCCTCCCTGATCAAGACACAGTGTTTCGGGGAATTCACCCCTAATCAGTTGAGCTTGAGTAGGCTGAGGAAGATTGTGCCTGAGGAGCACCACTTATATAGTGCTCTCCAGGCACAAACATCACCAGGGATACAAACTTACAGAGACGCTCGGTATCCAGCGCGACAAACATCTCGTGAACACTAGATAGCAGCGTGAGTCAGTGTCGCTCATGCAGGTGCTGAACGGATGCTGAGGAGATGATTTAGAGGCCACGTTTGCTATGACTGAAGATAGCGAGGTGGACACCGAGTATAGCGCTAGTATTGGTAAGATGGCTCGTGTGCTGCTAGCAATGGCAAAGCAGGTGATCTTGAAACAATGTGAATCTGAGATGAAGACGGACCTGATCTACAGGATGTCTCTGCGTCAGGTTCAGGAGCACGGTGCGTCTTACCAGGTCGCACACGGACAACAGGGTGATACTGCCAAGAAACCATTGGGAGGATCACGTCTAAAGCCCACTATATCGGCGCATTGCAAGTCGAAATCGGTTGGATACGCCGAGAAGAAGCTTGAGTCTTTGCCTAAGGAAAGGAGAGGGCGAGACTGTGTGGAACACAGAGATAGGTTGTGTGTTGTCAGGTCCAGCGTCTGCAACGTGTCGAAACAGTAAGCCTCTGACCGTGTCATTTGTCACAGCCTAAATCGACGAGCTTGGAACAATTGAGTTGGCAGAAGTGGTGAGCACTGATATTCCACCTTGGTCACCATTGCAGCAGCAGATGACACGTAGTGAGCCCAGAATCGCTTGACTTGTGAGCTGTTGTACGACGCTGAGAAGTCCTTTGGGGAGGGGGGGGGGGGATTTTACAAACCCACAAGTTCTCGCTGGTGACATGGATTGGTATTCGCTTGAATGTCGCATTTCGACTCCGCCGTACCGCTGATGCATCATGCATGGTATACGCTATATGCGCTGTGTGCGATTTACTGTGTACTCTGTCATTTGCATGCTATAATTATCTAGTCGTCTTAGACTGAGTCAAGCGTTAAGAGTCAATAGTTGTCCATGTGCTGTGTGCTCGGTCGTTTCTGACACTTACGAGAATCAGAGGCTTCATAACAAAGCATTTCACACACAGCGTCTACAACTGTTCCGTTCAATCAGTGCAGCAGATAATAATGCTCAGAGATATGCGAGGTTTGTTCATCACGTGTTCAGCAGTACTCTATATATACACAGTTCTACAACTGTTCCCTGCGTTCAGTGGTGCAATTGAGAATACTTACAGTCCTTGGAGGTTTGTTAGACCAGAGAACACACCACCACTTAAAGTCTGGATCTGATTATTGTACAAATGTCTACAAACGACAAGCCACAAGGACAATGTTGTTGTTGCTTAGTTCCGGGTAGTGCACAAAACACCGAGTCTAGGATATAGTAGTTCTAATCTAAAAGGCCGAATGTGTACGCTTCTCGTTGGCTGAGAATTCGAATGTGGCTGTCCGCAGCCGACCCTGCACTGTGGTTTTGCTGTTGCAAATGTGAGGTGTGAGAGAGAACATGATCTTGTTTTCAGAAATAACCCAGACTCCTTGCCCACAACATGATTCATATGCAACTGGGTTAGGTTGCGCAGTTCACATATAATACTGTAAAATATACACCCAAGTTGGGTGGTGTGCTGCTTTGCTGCTTCGAATTGTAGTTAGACCGCTTTGTCAAATCGCCTACTGGTCTCGTCATCGTCCAGTGACAATCGACATTCTTTGTTCCGTTGGGACTGTAGCTTGTGCTCGTTTTCGTTGCGCTTGCCTTCCCCTCTTTGGTCTTTCCATAACCTTGAACCTTCCAAGTTGGAAGGCTGTCGGTTAGCGCTACGGAGATGTGTTGAAGCTAGGTGTCAGGACGTCGAATGTCTCAGTACTCTGTCAGTTTTGTGCCTAGTTGTTGCACTTTCTGACTGTATATAGTATCTAGTTAACAGTGGTGGAGAGTTACTCTTAACTCGTTTCCTTTTCCTTTCTACTTTTATTATTGGCTCAACACCCGAGTTTCAAATTGCACACCTGATGAGCCGTCACGAACCATACGGCGAAACGTACGTCGTGTGAAACAACTTGTTTTGTAGTCAACTAGTCCATCACAATGTCATGCATGAGGAGTACAGTAGGAGTTTAGATTTCGGCTTGTACAATTCGTTCTCGCAAAGCTTCCCCCCCCCCCTTCTTAACTTATCTTTGATATTTTTGACCCGCCCAAGTTGGGTGGTGTGCTGCTTTGCTGCTTCGAATTGTAGTTAGACCGCTTTGTCAAATCGCCTACTGGTCTCGTCATCGTCCAGTGACAATCGACATTCTTTGTTCCGTTGGGACTGTAGCTTGTGCTCGTTTTCGTTGCGCTTGCCTTCCCCTCTTTGGTCTTTCCATAACCTTGAACCTTCCAAGTTGGAAGGCTGTCGGTTAGCGCTACGGAGATGTGTTGAAGCTAGGTGTCAGGACGTCGAATGTCTCAGTACTCTGTCAGTTTTGTGCCTAGTTGTTGCACTTTCTGACTGTATATAGTATCTAGTTACAGTGGTGGAGAGTTACTCTTAACTCGTTTCCTTTTCCTTTCTACTTTTATTATTGGCTCAACACCCGAGTTTCAAATTGCCCACCTGATGAGCCGTCACGAACCATACGGCGAAACGTACGTCGTGTGAAACAACTTGTTTTGTAGTCAACTAGTCCATCACAATGTCATGCATGAGGAGTACAGTAGGAGTTTAGATTTCGGCTTGTACAATTCGTTCTCGCAAAGCTTCCCCCCCCCCTTCTTAACTTATCTTTGATATTTTTGACCCGCCCAAGTTGGGTGGTGTGCTGCTTTGCTGCTTCGAATTGTAGTTAGACCGCTTTGTCAAATCGCCTACTGGTCTCGTCATCGTCCAGTGACAATCGACATTCTTTGTTCCGTTGGGACTGTAGCTTGTGCTCGTTTTCGTTGCGCTTGCCTTCCCCTCTTTGGTCTTTCCATAACCTTGAACCTTCCAAGTTGGAAGGCTGTCGGTTAGCGCTACGGAGATGTGTTGAAGCTAGGTGTCAGGACGTCGAATGTCTCAGTACTCTGTCAGTTTTGTGCCTAGTTGTTGCACTTTCTGACTGTATATAGTATCTAGTTACAGTGGTGGAGAGTTACTCTTAACTCGTTTCCTTTTCCTTTCTACTTGTAAAATATAGTCTCCGTCATTGTTCTTCTATTGTCAAGCATGAGGTGTGTTGCAAAGCTAAGAACATACAATTTCTAACGTTACTTCAGTTGATATTGCAGAAATAAAGCTGAGCGCCCAAGCATGAAAACCATTCTGGCTTGAGTATGTTACAAAATGCGTCAGAGCTGAATATGATATTAAACAGTCTACCGAAACGGAGACTTCCCCAGAGACTCGTATGTCCTTCGCGGATCATGGCGATAGAAAAGGTACAAAATTCTCAGTCTTCTTTATGGTTCGTTTAGTTAATGTTTTGATAGGTTGATACCCCCCCCCCCCTTTTTTTGGTATGTTGATGAAGAAATGGAGCAGAATTTTAAGGAAGAGGGTGCCAAAAGGTTTGAAGGGTCTCCAAATTTCAATGCTTTTCGACCAGAATCTGTCATTGCGTTAGAGAATTTTCCGCAAAAGGGCAAATATCCCATAGCTTCAATCAGCAATCTCAAGGCCATATAATCTTCGTTTCGCGTTCCCTAAAACTTCAGAACATTAGAAAGTTATAGAGGGATACATGATTTTGAATTTTGCATTGCGCACTGTGGGGCGGCTCTGAAAATGTAGGGAGATTTTGTTGCTCCATTTACTGTGCGCTGCTGTCTTGGTATCCCATGCACGTAACAATATTAATTTAATCCAATAATTCGGGTTTAACCTCTTGACGGTACCCAGTTACTGCTCTGGACATCTGGACATCGTCTTCCATTCTGGGTTCTGACCTTCTTTCAAACTCTTGCTCGTTACGTCTCAGGTAGACGCAACTTCTCTGTGTAGGATCTGAATGCGCTCGTTCTTTAAAGGGGAAATAGCATTAAAAGGCCCTTTCCTCTTTGCGTACCACCTGCGATTGTCGGCTGTAGTCGGACGTTCCCTTGCTATTTGGATAGGGACCAAGTGAAATGGAAATAGTGCTGTTCTCCCCTGGCCCCTGACACACATCAACACAAGCTCTTGATTGTGTCTCAATTTTTATATTATAACAACAAAATGACGAAGGTGCAGAAGGAGCATGGAAAACGAAGGTCAAACGAAATGACAACAGGAAAGACACGGAGAAACCACAAAGAACAAGCATTTAATAATAAATAATAAAGCGGATACAAATCCATACCGACCAGTCACCAAAATCTCTATCCCTTAACAAGACATACAGAATCCCTGGATTTCTCTCAAAATCCCTGAATGTCACGAAAACGAGTGAAAAAGAGCTTTCCCACCAAAAAAAGGTTTTGACGGCTTAAACTGCAGATCCATACAATACTGTTCAACCCTGCAGTGCAGTTCGCTCAGTTGGCGACCGCGCCAGTAAGTGCAAATCTTGCAGGCTAGGCTGGTCAGGTCTTGAAAGTGCTATGCACAGTTCAAAATGCGATTGAGCACTGTAATTTTTGGAAGAAAAGAACGGGACATTCCAGGCGATTCCATGGATTTTTCCAAAACATTCAGTATCAGACACAGATGTGACTTTAACGTGAGTTTGTTTGAAATCCCCGAGACCCGGGAGCACTGTATGAAGCCTCTTTTACGGGGAAAAGAAACACAATGGATGAAAATGCATTCCCGTATGTCACGTTATTGTCGCCTTGGAGTTGACCAATGACAGATCAAACAGCGCGGGCTTGAAAGCGCGGTCCTGCCGGCTCAAAGGTGGCGGAACTGGATCCACTGCCCGTTGTCAAGTGACGACGGGCAGGAACGGATTCCACTGCCCGTCGTCAAGTGACGACGGGCAGGAACGGATTCCACTGCCCGTCATCAAGTGACGACGGGCAGGAACAGATTCCACTGCCCGTCGTCACTTGACGACGGGCAGGAACGGATTCAACTGCCCGCCAGTGCAGTAGCCACTGAACTGACTCTACTTCAAGGTCTTTCATTGGTTACTAATAAAATAATTTTAGCATAAGAGCGACTGTTTGCAACCACAAATGTCATCATGGCGCTCCAACATTTGATCTTGAACTGGGAGAAAGAAGCCCCTTTGTTGAACGATATTGGCGATGCGAATGAGCTACTCCGAAAAGTTGAGGAAGAGACTGAAACTTTTATTGCGGAGTCGCTCGCGAAGGAGATCTTGGACGAGCCGGATGAGCCTCAACCAAAGAGCGCAATGCTCAGCAACCTGCAGGATCCGCACAATTTGCCGAGGTTTCCGATCAAGACGTGGGAAAAATCCGTAGGAACAGAACAGCCAGAATGCCCGATGCCCAGTCGACAATGTCAATGGCACCGCGAGAAAAAAAGCACTATGGACTACTACAAAAAACTGTACCAGAAAACAATCACAAAACACAATGCAGGTGTATGTGTCATGTATCTCTTTATTTGGCTTGGGTGCACACGGGAAACACGTTCCAGTCACTAGTACTCGGCCAGTACCGCTGTTCATCCAGCCCTTGCCGCTATCGCGGCGCGGGCTGGATTCCGCAGTACTGCCCTCGTACTCGTGCAGGAACCTGCACATACAAATTCAATGCAAGCTCAGAAAACCAGAAAAGGAGAAAAAATGTAACCCTAAAGGTGTTCGTAAGTATCTGAGATCTGCTGAATGGCATTGGGCCTCTACGTGCATAGGATGAAAAGAATTCTGCAACGGAACCACTCCGTGACCATGTTGTCTTTGCACAAAAAGAACGCGATTTCTTGTTAGCTCAAAGTCACAAGAACTTGCTGGACAATGTTGCCCGGTTTTGACTGGAGAACACGGCACCCTTCATTGAATGTCTTGGCCAATTCTAAAGGCTGATACGCAAAACTGTTGCTTCTTTCAGCGACACTGTAGATAATGCATTAAACAAGGCATATTCTATGTTGGACAATGCCATAAAAATCATGCTCTCTATGTACCTTCAAATGTGATATCCAAATTATCTTCCACAGAGGTTCTCTAGACCCCTGTGATTGATTTTCAAGAAAGAAAAAAAGTTCCAAAAATTTGCCCTTAGACACGGTATTGCATGCACTGGCCCATATTTATCAACTGTCTCCAAGTCGATTATTTAAAACAAATTAAATAAAAATGATACAAGAGAATGAAGTTGAAGACACCCCTGCAGCGGTACTGATGGTTGATTATATGGTGGTAAAGACACACCTGGCAATATGGTAAAC